ATGTAAGATCTTGCGCAACTTCGATGTTTCAGAAGAGATCGTCTCCGTAACGAAGCCACTGGTACGATGAATTGATTAGCGCTGTGAAAGTCACAAACGTGTTTCAGATTGGTTTGAGATCATGAACCGCATCAGACAAGGCAGTGTACTCTCCCATTTGCTCTTCAGCATAGTGTTAAGGTATTCTAAGAAACAGCGCTGAACGGCATTCAGAGTATGATCTCCTGTTGGAACGGAGGCTTAAGAACTGAAGGTATCTGGCTAAGTAAATGGCGAACCTAGATTATACGAAACTATATGAATGACTGTCTTACTGGAAAACATAGTAAATGGCTTTCATTCGCTAACTGAAGCAGTATGCACAACTGCAGCGAAAATGAGCCTTAGCTGAATCCTAGGAAGACAAAGGTACTGATATATGGAACGATGAAACCGATGGTATGCTACAGAGTCAGCGTCTTCGAAGAAGTCCCGCGGTTTAAATGTCCCAGTGCTGTCATTTTAAACAATGGTATAGGTGATCAAGACCTTAACAGCAGGATTGCAATAGCTTCGTTCACGTTAAAGGGCCTATCGAATTCCTGAGGGACAGAAGGAATGGCAGTCCTCACTAAGATCCAGCTTTATCACGCTGATGGCCAGTAGATTTTTTTGTTTGGACGTGAAGCAGTGGCACTTACAAAACCATACGAACACCAGCTGAACAGCCTTTAATGGCGCTGGTTACTGCATCTGTTAAAGACAAAGTGGTACAACTGCATCGGGAACGACAATGTCTTTGCAGTAGCTGACCTCATAGACGTCTCAGAGGCGCACAGGGACAGAAGGGTATATGTTCGATCATTTGCAAGGAAGCAAATCCTTACCGGCATATCAACCCTGACGTGGGAATCGAAACATAACCAATAAAACATCGCACATCATGTGGCAATTGAATTTTACATTAGATCTGATGTTAATGAGGAATCCTTCCTTCGTCGACCCAATAAATAGATTCTAATAACAAACTGCAAAATGCTGAAATGGACGGATATCACGAATCTGAAGCTTCCTATGGTTTTGCAGGGCGGCTAAACATGATGATGATAAAACAAACAACAGATGTTCGACTCCGCATGTCCAGTGAAATTACAATTCATCAATGAAGGTAAAATTTACGTGTAGAAAAAATCAACATCACTATGATTCATGATTGTAATAGTCATTATCACATCTTATATAATAATTTCATTTCGAATTTTCGTTGGTCTTTTTGTGTCGATCCAGATTAAGTATCAGGAGTGTCTGAAGGTCTCTATTCGTACTTATATGCAATGAAACATCAAATGTGTCACACATACTTGATGGTAACTAGTCAATGGGCAGCCGCGAATCTTCTCAGCAGGCTGTTCCCTGACGATGCTGAATATATATATGCCACAAGCGGGTTTGCATATTA